ACAAACCATTTCAACAAGTTCATACAGCCAAAGCATATAGATAAATATATGAAACAATATAGTAAATACATGAGACCAAAAATTCTAGTCTTTCATCACTCTGGAAATAAACAGATGTTTTGTGTGTGATTGTTTCTGAGACTGCAGACAGGTATTTTTTTTTCTTAACTCCTACCGTATTCAGTACATTATTCAGAAGATTAGCCAGGAACAGAAAATGTGCAATTTAATTTCCCTTAGGTTCAAGGTATAAGCTAAACAAGAGTCTTTCCCTGCACAAGTTGTCAAATTGGCTGTGTTTTCACTGGATAGTAGATGGGGACAGTGGGAATCTTGTTTGTTCATTGATGGGCGGGCATCATTATTTAGATAATGGGGCATTTGGCTACCTTGAAAGTCATGTTTACTCCCTGTGTTACCCTCACTTCATTGAATTTCTTTACTTTGACTTTCGGAGCTCTGGGCAGAAATCACGTATTAGTTTGGAGGACTTTATTGTTTTATTCAAGTTAAAGTATAGGGTTTCCCCAGATTGAAAACCAGAATAGCCCATGACCATTCCCTGTGGGATTCTGTAACTATTAAGGCAAAAGAAAATGCAGTTGCACTTATGAGTATATGGACAAAATAACGTGAAGTGAAAAGGGAAGAGATGTTTTTTAAAGATGACTATATTTTAATTCCTCCTGACTAGTAAATTCAAGGATACCAGGACAAATGAGGTATAGACTTTAAACCTTCCAACATTCCATTGTGTTAATCATTCTTCCTCATCAAAGAGGCAGTAAGGGATAATTTAGAGTGACTACAGTTACAAATAATGTGCTATGTAAGCACCCAAGAGCAGAGATAAGGGTGGAATTAAGGGTGTTAAAGAAAATATGGCCTCCCTTCTTTCTTTGCCATTCGATTGTTTTTGCTGTCCCTGGAGACTCGTATCTCTCTATTTGTAGGACCAAAGTTTACACAAGTGCCAAGTACATAAACAAGAACACCCCATTAAAATTCCTGTGAAACATTATACATCTTAAGAGAGCAGATGTGTCTATGGGCTGTCACAAATACTAGTCTTGCTACGTTAAGCAAGTAATTAGTGGAGACATACTATTTAGGATTCGCCTAAAACCCTCCAAGATAGAGGTCCCCAATCCCGGCCCCTGACCGGCCACACCAGCAGGCGGTAAGCAGTAGGCCAGTGAACATCATACCTGAGCTCAGCCTCCTGTCAGATCAGTGGCCACATTAGATTATCATAGGTGTGAGAACCCAATTGTGAACTGCACATGTGTGCGATCTAGGTTGTGCTCTCCTTGTGAGAATCTAACGCCTGATAATCTGAGTTGGAAGAGTCTCATACCAAAACCATTTCCCTGCCCTGTCTGTTGAAAAATTGTCTTCCACAAAACGGGTCCCTGGTGCCAAATAGGTTGGGAACCACTGCTCTAAGGTGTCCAGTGTTGCCTAACCCCTCTCCCTACTTATGCACCCATTAGTTTGCCTAATAGCTGATTGATTTCTGTTTAAATAGCCACAGTATATTGGGGCCATTTATTGCATCTTCGGTCAGCTCTTTTCCTCTGGGTCCCTAGAACTGAAGACAATATCCTAAGTTGATTCTGTCTCACAAAACATGAGTAAAATGAGGAATTGGTTAGGTAGGTGGCAAACAGCAAAGATTATTTGGACTTGTAGCTTGCTCCTTAAATAGACTTTAACCAAGTAAGCTATTTGAGAAACAACCTTAATTTTTTTCAAGTGTTATTTTTAATTCTACAAGAATATTTTCTTTTTTTTTTTTTGAGACGGAGTCTGGCTCTGTTGCCCAGGCTGGAGTGCAGTGGCCAGATCTCAGCTCACTGCAAGCTCCGCCTCCCGGGTTTACGCCATTCTCCTGCCTCAGCCTCCGGAGTAGCTGGGACTACAGGCGCCCGCCACCTCGCCCGGCTAGTTTTTTGTATTTTTTAGTAGAGACAGGTTTCACCGTGTTAGCCAGGATGGTCTCGATCTCCTGACCTAGTGATCCGCCCGTCTCGGCCTCCCAAAGTGCTGGGATTACAGGCTTGAGCCACCGCGCCCGGCCAGGAATATTTTCATAAAGTTATAATGTCCATTGTGTTAGCAACTAGAATTACAATGGCAGGTTTTAGGAGATACTTGAAACGTGAGATATTACATTTAAAACTATAAAATTATCGACGTAAGTATATGATTGTACCCATGTGGCAGTAAACTTAAAACTTCTAGTTTTTCACGTTTTTTTTGTTGTTTGACTTTTTAAAGAGTTTAAAAGGGGAAAAGGAGAGGAATATGTGAGGGAGACTGGCTTGCAAAGTCTAAAGTATTTCTTATGTGGCCCTATACAGAAAAAGGTTGTGTATTCTGGACAAGAGCAATTAAAGGAAATAGTTTGGACTTAAGACTTCTAAAAATAAATAGTGCTCAAATTGCACTTGGAAGCCAGAGACCTTGCTAGTCATCAAAGGTTCAGTTCAGTCCGTACTTAGAAAAGAGGGAAGCCAGCTTAGCTAAGAGTCAGAATACAAATATTCAGAAATGATTAATAGGCAAATAATTATATATACCATGTCCCAGCCAGTAGATGGAATAATATGCCACCATTAAATTTATATTAACATGTAAAAATGTTTGGAGTTTAGGGCTCTTACCCATATCTTAGTGACATAGAAAGAAAAGATAAATCACACGCAACCAGAAAATAGACATGTTGACTTTATTTTAGTACATAATCTGGTAGGATTTTTACATAATCTCATGTAATGGTGCTAGGTAGTTGGTTGTGCCAACTAGAAGTGTCACATAGTTAATATCCTTAAAGAGAAATGGAAGCTAATCAGGTAAGTAAACTGTGAGCTGAGGCCTACGTCATGCTTGCTATTCAAAGAGAGTAAAGTAATTGGATAAATGTTAATGCCTCCTGGTTGGGAAAACAGTCTTCAAAAATGGCACCAAGTTACAGTTCTAATGCAATGGAGTCACTAATTACTATGAATACTTTTTTTACTTGGTGGATTACTAATAAAGGCAACTGGATACAATAAATGTAAAGATTTTCTTTTAAAACGACAGACTCTTCAGTGAGGCATAAACATTTTATAGAACAATTATCAAAGCTATATTGGACTTAAATATTGGTCATGAATGTATGCACACCCCATAGGTAGCTGCCCTCCTTGGGCAGCTTTTGACTCCTATGCCAAAATTTAAAATAAAGCGTGTTTAATCACATTCCCCAAAAGGAGAACTTCATGAGGCACTAATGAGTAATGTTTATTTTATGAATGATTTTACAGAAGAAATTACAGAGGATGTTTAAATTGCAAAAGTACTCCTCCCCTTTTTTCCCCCCAACAAAATCCTTTGCAGTTATCACCTAAGCTTTTTGGTTGTGTGATTTAAGAAAGAAAAAAAAAAAAAGACCTACCTTAACAATTTAAGTAGGCAGTATTGTTTCTCCTCAGCTTTTGTTTCTCACTGTCAGCTGCCTAGTCTTTGTAATTCTTCTTATGCAGAACAACTTAGCATTTGACGCCACTATCACAAAAAAAAAAAAAAGAAGAAAAAAAACAAATATAGCAGTTGAGGGCAGTATACAAGCTTAGCAAGTATATTCTGATACTTGCTTAGGAAGTAGGAAATGTGATCAGATTCTGTTCTTTACCATATGACGCTGATTTGCAAGGTCCCACTGGGTACAGGACTACTGGTAAAAACCCTGTAACTTCGTGTCACAGAGGGACACAGCCATATATATAAAACAGCATCTGCCTTAAATCTTTGGGGAACATCTTACTATATTTAACCGGCTGATTTTACCAGGTATTTAGGAAAGTGTGACTGCAGTTCAGGGTCTTTGTTTCTTCTTTTAAGACAAGGTCTCGTTTTGTTGCTCAGGCTGGAGTACAGTGGCATGATAAAGGCTCATTGCAGCCTCAGCATCCCTGGGCTCCAGGGATTCTTCCACCTTGGCTACCCAAAACTGGGATTATGGGTGTGAGCCACCACACCTGGCCTCTTATATCTTGATTAAGGTCCTGTCTGGGCCTGCAGAGGTTCAATTTGCTTAATCCCGCACTTTTCCCTCAACATGGAGGTCCTTAGTCAACATTAACCAAGGTAATAAAGAGTTGAAAGTTTTAATCATAAGTAGGTGGAGGAGCATTTAAACTGGTTTAATAAACTTGAAATACGAATACGTTAAATATTCGAATAACAAAGCACTTGTGAAACAGGTTTTTCTATGGAAAGACAATTTTCCATCCAGCACATTTCATTTGGCTGGATTCCTTTTTTTTTTTTTTTTTTGGTAATAAATAGAACTTTGAAAATTCCAAATCAAATTTGCACTTTTGCATAAAAGGTTCACTTGGTGACTCTCATGCCTCCATAAGTATCTTCCATCTGATTCTACACAACTTATTGCCTTCAGTGTATCCTGGGACCAGCCAAAGAGATGATTCCAACCAGTGGAATCATCATTAAACCAGTGGTTCTTAAAATACGGACATTCAGTCAATCTGCATCAGAATTACTGTAGATTCTGGACAATGTACCAAGTCAACATCAAATCAGTCCTACATTTTGAAAAGGTAACTGTAATGAAAAGATGTTTTGAGATGCTGAAATTGCAGTGAAGACAATGTTCCCACCTTTTTTAAATGTTGTAATGTTAGCCTCATGTATGGAGCAGATTAGTATTTTAATTTTTAAAAGCCTTTTAGGAATGCAGATGTTAACATGAACAGTGGTAAAGAGGGGGGCATATTTGAGCAATGATTTTTAAGGAGCTTTGAATTTACAGTGCAATCCTAGCAAGAAAAGAGAGGGAGAAAAGAACATCTATTTTGAGCTGCAGACATAATTGCATCACAGCCGAGATTTCATAGTCCCCGTCCTCTCTATTCCTGTTGAATTACATGATTAAAGGTAACTCTCTCTCTCTATATATATATATATATATATGAAGATGTTTAATTGGGGGGGGGGGGAGTATGGGGGGGGGGGGGGGCTGAGAATTCACCTGGCCAATGAGTTAAAAATGAGAAAAGGATTAGCAGTTACCAAAATTTCTAAGTAGTTAAGTATCTGCATGGTGGGTTCAGTATAAACAAACATGGTACTCTCAAATGACTGTTGATGGGCTATTACATTAGCATCCTGTGAACCCTGGTCATAGCTGGAAAGGAGTCAAAAACCAGGTTCTTTGTGCAGAAGGAATATACCTTTTAAACACCCCCAAAGTATAGATTAAGCCGTGATTGATGAAAAGTCTCCATTTTCTGATGATTTTATGAAACCAAAGTATAACTAAGAACCAACCATCTGAGCGCCAGTAGAGAGTGGAAAATAGGGAAAGGCAACATCTCAGTATGATTTCTGGAGTGAGCAGTCGTTCTTACTGGCTAGGACCATAAGCTTCATTTGTTAAAAGTTCCCAGAAATTAAGCCTGAATGAGCTTAGAGCTTAGTAAGAGTTACTTCCAGAGATGCTTCTTTCTTCCCTCAAGTATACAGATTAACTATTTTTGTGCCGTGGGCCTTTTGACAGCCCCAAAAAGCCCGTGGATCCCATCTCAATGTTTTACATGTGTATTACATAATGCTCACACATTCTAAATTTTATCTACGGACTCCTAGTTAGAAATCCCTTGTAAGGGGTGTTAGGGTTCTGAGAGAAGGCTGGTAAGTAATGAGGCTGGTAACTTATTTCAGCACCCTGTTCAGGACGGGAATATGTTGTGTTTCAGTTATTCTAGTTTCCAGCTCAATTGGTGTTGAAGAAACTAGCTCACTTATAAGTGACTCGGATGAAAACCCACGGGGAGGCATGTTTCTTTAGTAAGAAACCCTGAGAGCCCCCTTTGAAGTCAATCTGACTAATTAAGAGAAAGGTTATATGTATCCCAGTTTTGACCTTCTGTGAATGTGATATATTATTGGCATCTCGTTCTGCACAGTCCAAATGAGGTAGACAAGATAATGATTGGTATATAACCATGGATACCGAAGATCCACTGCAAGGCCTGCCGATCACTTTACACAGAAGGAACCCCCTCCCTGAGGTTTGCTTGCTCGGGGTGTGGTGGTACTTTGCCCTAGTAAACTACCAAGGAAGTCCGAACGTAAGCTCCTCCTCTGGAAGAGCGAGTTGTGGGCGGCTGCGCTGCGGGGGCAAACGCGCCGCATGCCCGCTGGCCAGAGCGAGTCGGGGTCTGGCGTTAGGGCATCCAGACTGGCCGGCATGGTACAGGGCGTATCCCTAGCCGCCTTCTGCGTCATATGGGGCGCCGCCCTCCAGCCTAGGAGAGATGGCCGCTAGGAGGGACAGAGGGGCCTTATCTGCCCGGGTCTTAATACCCCGGGCGGGGTCGGAAAGCGGGTTACAGAAGAGCGCCCAGTAAACTGCAGGGGTGCGACTCGTCTCCAGGGACCGGAAACCCCCAGGGCCGAGCTAACCGGCAACAAACCATAATCCGATCCTGTCTTCGGGATCAGAAAGAGGACAGCTGGCCCCCGCGCAAGCTCAGTCCCTCCTCCGCAGCCTACAGGAGGAGCCTCAGAAACGCACTTCCGCCGCGCGGGCCTACCTCCACGCAGGGCGCTTCCTAGGCCAGCTCACTTCCGCCCAGCGCTTTCTGCGGATAGGGGAGTCGGGGTTTTCTTTTGTCCTATTCTTGCTCTTGCTCTTGACTCCCCTTTTCCGTTTAACCCTTTTCTCCTCTCTTGGCCTCCAAAAAAGCAGTCGGCTGCCACTCTCGACTTTTTTGTCTGGGACACCGTCAGCTCACACTCCAAGCCCAGCGCAGCGGCCATCTTCGGTAAATCCTGACAGCAGCCCGCATGTCCATTGTCCTGTGTGCCCAGAGGGAAGAACCACTCATTTTTCGTGATCAAGCTAGGGGAGGCAGGAGCAATAATGGCCCTGCTGTAGGACTGGCTTTTATTTGAATTCCAACTTTTCTGCCACCTTACCCAGCTGTATCCAGATTTTAAAAGTTAATCTATCCGAACTGCTTTATTAGGTTGATGAGATGATGCATGCAAAGCGCTTAGAACAGTACTAGGCATAAAGTATCCGACATAAAGGTTTAAGTAAAAGTAAGGAAAAGCTATGGAGATGTATTGAGTATCTCTTTGCCCAATGACATATTAGTCGTGTTAAATATGGAAAGTGCCTTTGATTCTCAGTGCCCGTGGGAGAAGGCATGGGAATGGCCTTTTCCCACCTGTAATCAGAGAGCAGCTGTTTGAGAACTCCTCAATATGTTTGCCATCTCTCAAGCAGCCTTTCGAGCTGTTAATTCCTAAGAAGTTTTCGCTTTTATTCAAATTGGCTCACTCCTTTTTGCAGGGTTTTGTACTGAATGAGTATTCTCTTAAGGATGGTGGACAAGCAAAGGTTTGGTAGCATCACATTTTTAATTTCACAGGGAAAATGGATATGAAACATCTTCCCAAGTACATCTTAGGCTGCCACTTGACAGCAAGCCATAATGCTTCCCATCTCTTGGGCCCTACACCCCTTCTCCCCCACCCCCGTTTTAATTCATCATTGCTCATGGACAGCTGGTTTGGGGACCAGGTGTAGATGATGGGAGGTGTCTTTAAAAAACAGCAAGTGAGAAATGCTAGTTCTGTTGTTTTAAGTTGCACTGATGACTGGTAGTTACCTGTGCTGGTGATAATTTATAAGGCGATGATAACGAATTAAACATACAAACGATTATTATCTTCCACAGGGGAAAAAAATGCAAACTTGTGACACCATTTATGATCTGCTTGGTCTTGAGATACTGAGTAATAGAACTTTCTCCTTCCAGGCTGAATTGTGAACTTCGGTTTGGTTTCTTTCTGCAATCCCTGCAGGGCCATAAATTCTTGGCCCTTCAGACTGTTTCTTGTTGGCCTGTAACAGACTCAGCGATACCATCAGTAACCACAATTCACAGTGGAGTCAAATTATCTTATTCCCACACCAGTTGGAGAACTGGAGATTCCTTAGAACTTTAACTGTCATGTTTTCAAAGTTGACGTGGAAATTTTTACATGAAGCTTAAAAATAAAACTAATCTGTGGTGATAGAGATGAGAAGAGTTAAGCTCTAAAATTAGAAGAGCAGTTCGTTTTGAGGCAGCATTGATTGGGAGGGAGCATGGAGTATATAACTATACATTTCTATATAATGTAAAAATTTATAGGTTTAAGATTTATGCATTTTGTGTAAATTATACTACAATAAAATGAAAATGAAAGAAGACAAAGATCATATATAGTTCAAATATTGTGTACAAAGTAGTTTCTGTTAAACATTTTTATGTGTATATGTACCTTTTACATGTATATGTTAAGGATATGCATTAAAATGGTAATAACTTCCTCTGCCTATTGGGATAATGGAGAGTTTTGTTACTTTTTGTCTTTTTTTTAAAAAAAAAACATGTTCTGCAATGATAATGTATTGCTTTTGTAATTATGAAAAACAAAAGTTATTTTGTAAATCCTTGTTACTGATAAGAGATGGGTATTCTATTAACTACTGAATTCTCATGTAGGAAAACAAAATACGTAATGTCTATTTGATAAATCGAGAAACAGAAGCATTACTTAGAAATCTGAGTTACCTCTAAAATAATGACTGGCATTTGAAGTTGAGGATGGGTCTTGAGTTCCTTTGATTTTAAGCTCTTGGATATGAGGGTTGGGTGAGTTCCTCTTTTTCTCTCTTTCAAAATATATGTATGTTTAACTTTGCTAAATAAAAGTTAAAAGATACAGTCTATCTCAGTGCAATTTTTTAAAATTTATTTTCATCCAGGCTACCCTTTCCCTTTGTCATTCAGCAGGCAGAACAAGGAAAAATTAAACTTCTAACTGAAAGGTACTTTGAATAGCAATCAATATGAAGTTACAGACAAAATATAAATATTGCTCAATATAAAATGAGGGGTTTTTTTAATTGAGGGGACAGAAATACAGCTTCTCAGTTATCATAAATTGCATCATATTCTTTGGGAGGGCCTTTTTGGCTTGCATCCATTACCAATTATGTATCTTTTACCACTGTGGGAACTGTATTATCAAAACAGTTAAAGCTTGTGTATTTAGCGCCCTCTAGTGCATTATCTTAAAATAACATAGCATAGCTGATAATACTCCAAGCAGCTATAAGAAATGTAAATCTCAGTGCACCTCCCTCTTTGTATCTACATGTTATTTCCTAGCCATGAGACATTAGGCTGTGACCTCACAGTAGTTCTTTAATCTGTAGGCTTCAATTTTCTCATCTGTAAAATGAGAACGATAAAAAATACTAAATAGGGTTCTGAGAACTGAATGGTCTATGCTTGTGACATGAACGCCTGGCACATAGTAGAAGCTCGATTAGTGCTAGCTGCTCTTACATATAAATAGATCGAGTCAGTACTAACATGATTAAAGACAAGTAATCTTGACTCAGATGTCAGAATCTGCTAGTAGGAAAGTGGAAAATGTTAAAGAGGAACCAAAAAGTAAAGAATGAAGGCCTAGGTTTGCAACTCATCTTTAGTTCCCTTTTGCTGAGTCAATTGATGCCAATTATGAAGTCTAGGAACATGTTAAATTCCTTTGCATCCTTCACAGTGCATATAATTGCGCACTGACAACAAATATTTATATTTATGTTCAAGCTAAATGGTTAGAAAACAAGATGAAGAATGATAGAAAATAATACTTCAGTATAAAAATTTGTATTTGGATTTGACTTTCTGTTTGAGGCAGAAGCCTTAAAGGCCATTTTTTTGGATTGTAGCTTTGAAACAGACTGTGGACAAGATTTGTGTTACCTGTGTGCAAATGAGCAGCATAATTATACTATGTGTTTCATATATTCACTATATGACTTTTGTGACTCATTACTGACAATGAGAATAGTAGGTTATAGAATCCTGCTCTCATCCATTCTCACCCATTTTCAGTGTTGCATAGGCTGTACAGCTAAAATTTACTTTCTCAGACACATTCCAAGAGATACCTTCTCTCCACATAGTCTACATGACCATCTATAGTTCTTTTCCTGCACTAACAGACATAGACTTTGGTACTTAATACCAGTACTTCTTGGGCTCTCCAAGAACCCAGTTGCTTGAGGAAAGCATTGGGTGCTTCTCACCCCAGGTCCCCAGAATCTTTGGTTGGGCCTGTATATAATAAATGTCACCATTGCTTATTTTTCTTGTGTGCTTTATATTAGACATGTCACAGTGTTGTCTCCCCTTCCATTTCCTCAGTGCTAAACCAGACCAATTTTCTCATGAGAGGTACATGATACAGGTAACCATGTATTATTGTGCCTCTATTAATGCTTATACCCTATGCTAAGCATTTTACATAAATTAATTCTTTCACAACCACATCCAGTAACAGAGTATTCCCATTTTCCAGAGGGGAGAATTTTCCTAGTTCATACAGATAAGTGGCAGAGCCAGACTTCCAACCCAAGTCTGTCTCTAGAACCTGTGGCTTCAACACTGCATCAGAAACTCCAAAGGGAAAATTTTGAGTTGTGTGTCTCCAGAAATTCCTGCAAGGAATATCGTGAAGCTCCCTTCAGGCACTAAGCCATAAGTTCTGAGGCTTCCTCCTTTTCAAGAAAACCCACCTACCTAGCCCTGATAATTATTAGAACTGTGATGACTCACATTAACTTGGCACCTCACAGTTTTCAAAGGTTGGCCCATTGGGTATCTCATTTTATTTTCCAGAAAACTTTTTGCGTTCATCATCAACTGAGCCTCCAAGCTGGTGAAGCAAGTTCTTTTCTGGCAGAAGATTGCAGCTCCTATTATTTACCCCCCAGGGGATAAACTGCAAATCCCAGGCCTTACAGCTGGGAACACAGAGCTGGCTGTGCAAGCATATAAAAAACCTTGCGGCCGGGCGCGGTGGCTCAAGCCTGTAATCTCAGCACTTTGGGAGGCCGAGAAGGGCGGATCATGAGGTCAGGAGATGGAGACCATCCTGGCTAACACGGTGAAACCCTGTCTCTACTAAAAAAATACAAAAAACTAGCCGGGCGAGGTGGCGGGCTCCTGTAGTCCCAGCTACTCAGGAGGCAGAGGCAGGAGAATGGCGTAAACCCGGGAGGCGGAACTTGCAGTGAGCCGAGATCCGGCCACTGCACTCCAGCCTGGGCGACAGAGCGAGACTCCGTCTCAAAAAAAAAAAAAAAAAAAAAAACCTTGACAAAGCAGGAGGGGGTTCCACACTGGCTATCCTGATTACAGTGCATTGGGCAAGGAGCTCTCCCGCTGGAAGCTGTATCAGAACCAAAGGCACTGCCTTGGCGGGCAAAACCACGTTCAGCAGTCCTTCAATCAGCCAGGGCCTTGCCTGCCCGTGTGCTTACTCACACTACGCATGTGGTCTCTTACAATTGCTTTTCCTCTCCTTAACTCTTTCTTCTTACCCCAGCCCCTACCCCCAACTCCCTCTTGTCCTTAAAAGCTTCTTCCTGGTTTACACCTTAACCTCTTTATAGGATCCTAGTAAATGCCAAGGCTTGTGGAGGTGGAAGATTATAAATCAAAGCCACAGACACAGACATGGGGGAGGAGCCACCCAGGGGGTGGAAGGGCCACAACTTGAAAACAAATGAGCCTCTTTCATCCCAGTGGGATTTTTGTGTTTTAAGGTCTGCAGTTCCGGTGGGGCACTAAATCAGAAGCTATGGTTTCTGAGACTTACAGGAAGAACTATAACTAGAGAGTTGTCCATATGTGTTTCCTGAGTTTCAGCAAAACTTGGGGGCCTAGAGAAGTCCTGTTATTTAAAAAAAGTGTCGTTTCTCCGTTAGCAAAATAGGTTTCACATTTTAAAAGTAGCTTAAAGCACAGCATCAACCATTCTTTCGTCCACAATTGAGACGTTCCATTAAATGATAGAAGGGGTCAGCTTTGAGAGATCTGACTAAATATCATTTAAGAAAAATTTGTCAGTTCTCAATTACCTGTGCTAGTGGAGGGGATCCAGGGACAGAATTCCACTGGGACTCTAAATCACTGTTCATTTGCATTTGGCATTATGAGGCATTTTAGTAATGAACACTTTAATATGGGTGTGCCTGCAGTTCTGGAAATTTACAACTGTTTATAGCAAATAACAAAGCTACTCAGTGAAGATGCTGACAGGGCTGGAATGCTGTCAAATGACTTTTCCAGCCTCTGGACCAACTGTTTACTGAGGCCTGGAAACAAAATAGGCTTTGGCTTCAGACAGGAAGGTTTAAATCCTTAGACTCACATATCAAGTAGTTTAGAAAAAAAAAAAAAAATCCTGATGCTGCTGTGTGATTTTTCAGATTCCTCATTTGAAAAATGGGAAAAAGAAGTAATATCAAGTACCTTGGCCGTGGTATCAGAGAATGACCTCAGAAGTTGTGAGGGAATTCTCAGACAAAACTTTGAAATATAATGCAGGATTCAATCAGGTATTATTTTAATCTTTAAGTAGTCTAGATGGGTTGCAAACTTCCATGAATAGAGGAGAGCTGCTAAGTACTTGGGTTAAGAGGGCTGGAGACCAACTCCTGTATAAATTGTGACATTCTGTCTATATAGTATAAAGGGAGCTCAGCATGACCCAAGAAGGTCACAGACCAGAATCACTGGCTGAAACCTCTGGCCAGTGACCAACCTCAACTCAAAAGGTAAGTACATTTTGTGTTCCTAAGAATCCAGAAAGTTCGAAATTCCTATTAAAAAGTTGCTGCTGGTCAGGCACAGTGCCTTACACCTATAATCCCATCTCTACAGAAAATACAAAGAAGCCAGGCATAGTGATGGGCACCTGTAGTCCCAGCTACTGGGGAGGCTGAGGCAGGAGGATTGCTTGATCCCAGGAGGCAGAGGTTACAGTGAGCCAAGATTGTGCCACTGCACTCCAGCGTGGGTGACAGAGCAAAACCCTGTCTTTAAAAAAAAGAAAAAAAGAAAAAGAAAAGAAAAAAAAAAAAAGTTACTGCTTGATAGAAGACTTGAGACCTTCCCATAGCCACATGAATGGGTATGGAGGTGAATTCGCCCCCAGGAGAGCCTTCAGATGAAAAGGTGGAAACCCAATACCTTGACTACAGCCTTGTGAGAGAACCTAAATTACAGGCACCTAGCTAAGCTGTACCCCAGATTCCTGACCCAAAGAAACTGTGAGATAATAAATGTTTGTTGTTTAAAGCTGCTTTCTAAAAAAGAAGTTTCTGCCCTATGGTTTATCCACAGTCAGCTTATTCTGTGTGTTAATACGTGAACCATTATAATTCTCAATAATACATTTGATTTTGCACTAAGTGGCAGATGTGGCCTTGAGTTCTCCACAGTGCCCAAGAAGCCAGATGGCAAGAAGGCTCATTTAGGCAGCCCTCCTACACAAAACTCTGCACCACATGCACAAATTCTGAATTGTGTCTGTAGGAGGAGGGGGTGGTTAGAATCGGGCAGAAAGAGTCAGAAACCAAGTGCCCAAGCATTCATGATCTGCTGAAAATACCAAGTGAATTTCTGCAGTTTCCTTACCATCCATATTATATAACATGCCCTGGATTAAGGACTCATTCTTGATCACTGAGGTAGAATTGGGTCCTTGTGCCCATAAACAAAAGAAAGCTTGGCTAATGCAGTTGTACATTCTTTCCAAAGAACACATTTGTTTTCGATTAGGAAGTCAGAGCACTGTTCTGCTAAATGTTTAGATCTGGTATTACTTAGGATAGGAGTTCAACAACTGTAACAAACTGATGCCAAAA